CATATAAAGTATGCTCATGATACTATATACTTGTCTCATATGGTCATACTATTCGTTCAACATGATACATGTGCCATTTGTTTAATATTCAGGCCTTTACCCCTTCGTCATGTCACATGACAACATTACTTGGAATAAACCAAAAGAGCATTTAAACTTACCGTGAACCTCAACGCACGAGTTGGAGGAAGAACAATTTCATAACCAGTTTCATTGCACGATTCAATAATAAGGACTCTACTAGACACGGCTATGAGACATCCTAGGACACTTTAAAACCTTAGGCTCTGATACCGAGTTTGTCACGCCCCAAAACTGAGGAGCGCAACCGGTGCTCAACCGAGTGAACCCGACCGAGCAAGCCTGTTAGATTCCTTCTACCCAAACTCATTCATGAATAAAGAGAATATATGTTTTCCTTAATTAAACAATAAAGTGATCATGTCTACATTTACCAATTTATAGAGAAGAGTTTAGCCAACATACCTCAATTGAGCTTTCTTAAACTCTAAAACATTCGAGAATTCTTAGCAACTTCAATCTATTTTAGAAATATAACAAATTGAACCAAAATTAGAAGATGATTATGGTTCTAGCTCATTTGAGCATTTTATCAAACACTAGGTGTGCATTAAGGTTTGAAAGTCTTTTTATGGAGGATTCCACCATCCCACAACCCAATCTTTACCATGCTTAGTTCAACAATCATCTTACACCCCTTGATATCACATGCATGTAAAATAAACAACTCTCATGCCCAAACTTTATCTTGCTAATTACCCATTTTCAGATAATTTTGAAATTAGGGTTTAGGGTATAGAATCTTACCTATAGGATGAAGACATAGTGATCTTCCTTTCTTAATCTTCCAAAACTTAAGCAAGAATTGAAGAACAATAATTGAAGAACACCTTCTCACTCTAGGGTACTCTCTCACTCTAAAATATTAGATTATGGCCCAAAATGTCCCAAAGAGTGTATTTAACTAAATAGGGTCGGGTTTTAAAAGCCCAAAAATGAAGCTCCGGAACAGGTTCCGCGGTCGACTATGCGACCGCATATCGGTCGCATAATTGGTGTCCAAAATGACCAAAAATTTGCCTGAGTCTGCGGTCACTATGCGGTCCGCATAACTATTATAGTACACTACATAAAAGTTAAACGGCCGCATAGTCAACCGCATAATTGCTTCCAACTGACCCAATTAATTGCCTCACTCTGCGGCCATTATGCAGTCTGTAGAGTGATTCGACGGTAGCATAGTGGACCGTAGAAATGTACTTTTCCGCCAAAACTTTTCCTCTACTTTCTGGTGCATTGTTCAACCCAATAAGTTTGAGTCGTGGTGAGCAATCTCGCCGCGAAGAATGTATATAATACTCAACACGTAAAACCAATTTGGCACAACGAAACATTATTTTCTTTGCAAAACTTTATCGGGCATACCACTTAAGTACTTCGAAATTTTTCAGAGTGTTACATCAGCGGTCAGCCTCCATTCGAATTATGTTAGGGGGTCTTTCGCTTTTGCCAGATCTAGAGAGATACTACAAGTCCTCCATCCCAGATTCCACCGCCACGACCATCTGGTTCACCGGTACTACCAAAAAGTCTCATGCTTACGTTACTGTTATTGATGGTTTGATTATCTTGGACTACGAGGACCCCAGTCGTGCTTCTGGTTTCCATTCCAATCATCATATTGATGATAAATCTCCTCGTGCTCTGCCATAAGAACTTGGAGTCCATATCATGCTGAAGATATGGTAAGGCTGTGATTCTTTCTCAAATAATAGACCGAACGCCTTCGAGTTATTGGCTTGTCCAACCCGGCAGCATTCATGAGTCGCTAGTTCAATTGTCCCTCGGAGATCTGGTCAAGAAGTACCATGCATGGTTGCTCCCCGTCCTTTCTTTATATAAGTATCACCCAGCAAGCTACCCCAACCCTACAGCTAAAAAAGGTAAGCGCCTAGCACGAGCCTTATTTATTAGTTTAGTAAAGTCAAGCTTTGGCTCCCTAAAGACTAAAGAAATGCATAAAAAAGCGGGGGACTTATGCAACGGGCTATGCCACCCAAACCAACTGAGGGAAGTCACATCCGTCCCATCGCAAGCACCTACAATGTCATGGTCACATTGGTTTACCCTAGTTTCTGTGGTAGTTTAACGTACGGTCGCCCATCCAAGAAGAAAAGGTATAAATATGAAAACCTCTCTGCCATTTGGATTGAAGAATTTATGAAGCTGCTAGTACCAGGTGAACTGATATTGGCCGTAGTGGAAGAGAAGAAAATAGTAGAGAGATTCGGCATGGTTCTCACTGAACCTCCGTTATATCTAACAAGTCGAGTGTTATGTCGGTTGTATAGAACACCAACACATAGAAAAAAGGGCTGAAGAAACTAGTCCATGACTTGATATCAGTAGAATGCTACCTCCAATTCCATGTATGTTCGATAGAGCCAAAGATTCCCCCCACTGATCGGAGTACGCCGATTACCCCCGAATCGTACAAGATAGTTACCACATATCATACGGCTTTCTAACATAACTTCTTTTTCTGGTCATTTTGCTCTGTCGATCGATGGTAGTATAAGAGATCTGTAACCCCCAAAAAATTTTTACATAATGGTTGTTGCTTCCTACCCATAGTTAGCATGTATCTCCCCCGGTCATAGTTTTGTATCACATCGTAGACCCCCACCCCAATGCTATCTTCCTTATCAGTGAACCGGAACATAGTGCATAGGTACTCTTTGATGTAGCGGGGACGAGACAAAGTGACATACGATGATCACGTACAGAAATGTTGTCCTTCATCTCGGCAATATGGAACCTCTCAACAACTCCCGTTCCTTTATGGAGTCCTATCGGAATAGGTAGGCCCAAGCCTTTCCCCCCTCTCCCTCTATAATACCCTCTTTCTCTTTCCCTCATGGGAATGAAGATAAGAAAGGATTCATTTTTTTATTTCATGTGAACAGTCATATCTTGCATCGAAAGTTTTTTCGTGTTATACACCACATTGAGAAAGAACAACCTCTAATGTACCATACTCTTTTTGTATCTCGAAAGGGGGGTCCTCCTTATGATGCTGCGGACGGTTGTCCAAAGTGCAAGGGGTAAACTCGGACTCAGATAGGATAGGATTGTGCGCGTCGGGCCCTTCGGGTCTCATATTTTGGCCGAGTTTACCGTACCTCTGTCCCCTATGTTAGGCGGCCGTAATATTTTGTTACGTTCTACCACTGTTACGCCAGAATAAAAGGTTCCACACGAGATCCCGTTCTGTGATGTAGTGGCAGGACCGCTAGGGGAGTGGCTCCGGGTATAGATAGGGTTAAATCTGCAGGGGCCATGCAAATACATAGGCCCCTTCCCTTCTCTTTTGGATGAATGTGGTGGTTTAGAAGGCGTTTTCCGATCTACGGTCCTTCAGAGCGAAGGGTTAGGCAGGTAGTATGGGCCCTCTGACTTCCAGCTATGTGTTGTGCGGCTCCCGCGAAGTGAATGAAGGGAAGCTCTTCGAGTTTCCAAGTGAGCTTACACTTACTCTCAATCTCTTTGATTGGTAGGCGGGTGGGCTAAGCCCCCTACTTAAGATTCAATTCATAAGTCTAATTTTATGTTGTTGTGAGGCTTTGGTTATGCTGACTACTATAGGCTAGCTACTTCTAGCTTCTATACTGGCCCTTCCACTTTGGTGTAGTTTTAGTTTGTATTGGTACTGAATAAACATATCAAACAAAGGCGAGCAGTATAACNGAAGGGTTAGGCAGGTAGTATGGGCCCTCTGACTTCCAGCTATGTGTTGTGCGGCTCCCGCGAAGCGAATGAAGGGAAGCTCTTCGAGCTTCCAAGTGAGCTTACACTTACTCTCAATCTCTTTGATTGGTAGGCGGGCGGGCGAAGCCCCCCTACTTAAGATTCAATTCATAAGTCTAATTTTATGTTGTTGTGAGGCTTTGGTTATGCTGACTACTATAGGCTAGCTACTTCTAGCTTCTATACTGGCCCTTCCACTTTGGTGTAGTTTTAGTTTGTATTGGTACTGAATAAACATATCAAACAAAGGCGAGCAGTATAACCCTTCTCCGGCCTGGAAAAAGAAATGAACTCTAGAAGCTAGGGCTTTGTTCACCTTTGGACACGAACCCTATTCCATTCTCAGTGGAAACCTGCCTTAGAGATTGAACGGAAATAAGATAAGTCAACGTTCAATCTAAGGTAACGCTGAGCACTGATAGCTTGTACTGAACAGCCCCATTATGAAACTAACAGAAAAAAGGCTTTGGTACTTAAGTAGTTAAGGTTTGGAACCCTTGCAAGTATGATAGCTAGTCGTTTGCTTGTTGCCAAACCCTTTGCCTTTCTTTTGAATCAAACTAGGTCGCAACTGTTGTATTTTAGTCGGTCGGGGGAAGCGGTAGATTTGTGCTCCACTTCTCTCGCGCTTGTTTGCGTGAAGGGTTAGAGCACTTTTTGCTAGGTCCAAAAGCTTCCCAGAAGATCTGATCCAATAGAAATCCCGCATTGAGCGTAACTGATATTCGGCCACGGCTAGCCGATCATATCATTCCATCAAAAAAATCTATATGTATAGAGAGATCCCCTAGATATACAGATAGAATAGATATTCATGGATAGACAGATATTCCATTGATTATTTGTTTTTGGACTGAAAAGGCTCGTCGATCCAAATGAATCATTCTTCTGGTCTCTCTTCACTCCCCACCCCGAAACTGATCCACGGCACAGCACCCATTCGCTTCACGTGTGGGAAGACAACGAAGTTTAGTTCATGAGACCGCAGCGCAGTGGAGTGGAGAAGCCGCGACACAAAGTTCCTTACCTTAGCTGGATCTCACTGGTGCCACCTAAATGGTAGGTAGGTGGCGGATGTGTGACGTTTGGAGTTGTCATTCGTGCACCTATCCCCAATGGAATAATGAGTGATTTGTTCCCCTACGGATCATGGCCTTACTACTCGGTCCCCGATGGCCAGCGGGCGATTCAGTATAGCAGCTCAGGTTCATTTGCGCTGTGCGTTCCTTCTGGACTGGACACATGTTAGCTGTAGGAAGTATGGTTACGAAAGTGACTTTGGTTCTCCAGTTCAGGCTCAACTCCTCGCTTTATGTTAGCGGACCTATAAGTCAGGCCGGGGCTCTGTGATATTTCTTTCTGTGTGGGATGATACCAGGGAAAGAAGGGAATGCGTCGAGGAGGCAAACAAGACAACTAAATTTTGGCTTTTCCCTCCATGAGGTGAGCCCAGTGCATTGGACCGATGGATAAGAGAACTGAGCTGGCCTAAAAAGCACTTTGGCGCTCTACGTACGATGTACACTCCATTAGATACATATCGATTTCTTTTTGATGGATAAAGAATAGATAGTTGTCTCATCAATAGATAGAAATAGGAGATTTCCCCTTATTATTGAGAGATTCACTCTCTATGTCTTTCGATCTATCAGAACAGATCAGGCTATCTATCAATCGATTTGAAAATAGCATGCTCATCTTGCTTTTCGTTCATTTTTGCCACGAAAACATAGCTGCCATAATAAGAAGCAAGCGAAGTATCTAGAAGTACTCGCTTCACGCCCTTGAATTACCATTCACAAATGAATTGGGAAAGCCAACAGAAAGATTCGATTCTGACTTCGTAGAGCCGGTGCTGTTGTTACCTGTGCGTAGGTCCATCCCCCACTCCCGTCCCGGGGCACTAAGGGGCTTTTGTGTTTTGAACAAACGGCAGTGTTTTTCTGACGCCTCGACTCAAGCTTTTATTGTGACATGCTATGGTTTCTCCCCCATTCTAGTAGGTTGGTAGGTCGCATGCCCGACACACATGTTTTGGCCTTGTGTGTCCATAAATCAAAATAGGTGACCTAACGGCCGCCTGACTAAACATACCAATAGTCACCAGATTCATATGAGCTACTGAGGATTAAGCAATGATCTTATTAAGATCGATCTGCCTTAAAGTGGCCGGGGAAGTATATATTATAGCAATCGCGCTTAAAGTATAAATGAAAGGAGTGGTACAAAGTGTCGCTTTGGGAAACTCGGGTATAGGTGCCTCTACATGAGCTTCAGGTAACCAAATATGAACTGGTACCATAGGTACTTTGACGGCAAAAGAAGCAAATCATAGAAAGATTTGGCACTGCTCACTAAATTATGTGGTTAATGAGATTCGAAATGTCCGCTTAAACCATTGTTTCACCTCCCAAAGGGCAAAGTTGGCTTGATGAGTGCAGATGAGGAAGCGGGAGCAAGAAAACCAATAATCTCTTTCTTGTCCTACTACGTAAGGTTAAGGGGCAAAGAGAGCGCTTTTGCTACTAAGAAAGCAAATGGTCAGCGCGAAGGTTCAAGACTTAGCTGAGCGTTAGCGAAGCTAGATTCTCATAGCGAGGCACTTTGAGTTAGCGAGGAACTTCGAGTTAGCGAAGCGTTGTAGTAGCACTAAAGCCCTATATTCTATAATGCTGAGCCAAGGATGCTCCGCCTTCTCTATAGAAGTAGTTAACTGAGTTCTGAACGAATTAGCTCATTGGTAATGGCATAATCTATAGATAGAAAGCCCTACGATGGGAAACTACCACGTTAGGTTTGGAGAGAGATGGGACCGGTTATATAATAGGGGAAGCAGATGCAAGCTTTTTCTTTCAATAGCCGGCCAAATGACTACAGGATCATCGGTCTACTCTACCTCAATTCACCATTTCGAACCTTATACAGAAGGTTTTTCCGTACCAGCTCCTTCTACCTATACCGCAGTTGAAGCACCTAAAGGAGAATTTGGTGTCTTTCTGGTCAGTAATGGAAGCAATCGTCCCTACCGTCGTAAAATAAGAGCACCTGGCTTTGCCCATTCACAAGGACTCGATTCTATGTCCAAACATCACATGCCAGCAGATGTGGTCACCATCATAGGTACTCAAGATATTGTGTCTGGAGAGGTGGATAGATAGGACTACTAGTTGCTCGATCAGGACCCTAGCTTTATTGCGAGCCAAAAACCCAATTTATACGCCCCCTTTCTTTATTTAAGGAGATTCTATCCAATTATCAGCCCCGATGCGGAAAGGAGTAAAGAAAGAAGAGTTGAAGACGGCTTAACAGTAAGAGAGAACCCCCTCATCTCGTGGCTAGGAACATCTATGTAGATGGGATTGGATTCATAGTGCCAGTTAGGGGTAGGTATAAACCTTCATTCATCTTCTTTGATCTTCCTTGGAATATCCATCATCTTGGTCTCAACCTTGTTGAGCTCTCCCTGATCGAAAGTTCCTATTTTGCAGCCTCTTCGATCGTCTCCGACTCCCTAAAACATAAGAGTACTTGGTGACCTAGATGGTAAAGGTCTTTCTTTACCTTAGTTAAGCCTTATGTCCTTTCAACATTCCTATTCATCTTGCCTTGTCTTGGGCAACGTAGTGGACTGATTATCCTATATATAATATCTACTCTAAAGATTACGAGGATAGAGGGTCCCCCTTCCATAGATTCGATTGGGATTGATTCTCAGGATCCATCCCTTATCAGAGGCATGCCTACCGACGCCTGTCAAAGTCTTTGGCTTGCACGGTGTCTCCTAAAATTTGCTCTAGCTATGAAAGAAAAGAATGGGTGCCACGCTTTATTCTCTTCTACCGCTCTTTGTTTACTTCTAGCCTTCCCGAACTCCTACATAGGCGGAGTCAGATCTTGGAGTAAGCTCCTTTCCATGGGCAATCTATTCAAGAGTTTAGGCCCCTAATTCGGTCTATGTCTGGGCTGCTGCCGTACTCAAAGGCGGGGGGCTCTAAAAACGAATGCGATCAGCCTCAGAGGAGAGGGGCTCCAAAAGTGGATGTGATCAGCCTCAGAAAAGTGCTTTTTTGGTATATAGGCCTTCGTATAGGATAGGATTTTCATTCCTCCCGCCAAAGCTAGAAAAGAAAGGAGCTCTCTCTTTTTTCCAGCCTTCTTTTTATTTTAAAGGCATATAGTGCGTTCTCGCTTTCAGGGGGAATTCAAGTCAAAATCTAGTACAAGGAGGAAGCGAAAGGCTAGCTACCAGGTACGAAACAGAGTATGACTATAATAAATCATAGAGCAGTGGGGAGCATGCCCATCCCATTAGATATCATTTGAGCTTCCCCTTTCCTAAGATCCTGGACGTGGTACTGACGCATGAACTTGGTTACTGGTTTGACCGCTTTGTTGGCAAGTCAAGTAAGGAAAGGTCTGTTCATTTGTCCAGAAATATGTTTTCGGCCTATCTATCGATTGAACCAGGGGCTGGGCTCTTGTTGACAGACATAAGAAGTGGGATTAAGAATAGGGGAAGAGCAGCTCTACTCATACTTCTGCTTATGGAAAGACATAAGAAGCACCCTATAAAACATGCAAGATCTCTTAGTAAGCCCTTGTTGGCATATCAGGTGCCATTGAACACAGTCCAGGGAAAGCATCTATCTATAGTGATAGTGATCCATTGCCTTGACTTGAGTCTCCACCACATCTATTTCCTGCCCGCTTGTAGCGGTTGGTTAGGCTAGGCCGGTTAGAACCTCTCCGCAGTTCTCGATTCTGATTGAACTAGGGAGGATCGGTATTGCTGGGGGAGATTGTTCTTCCTCAGCTGGCTTGTTAACCATGGTCTCTTGAAGGTTTCATTCTTTTACCAGCTCTCCCAGCCAACAACCTGCTAACCCTAAGCTTGCAAGCACCTTGGTCACATCTAAGTCCCTATTCTATTGTTCTATTTGGGACGGAAAGAAAAAGATCTGCCTTTTGCGGGAAGAATCGCTCGAAAGCACGGGATGGGCCTTCCCTTCCTTTACGTCATCCACCACCCTGTCCTATCCACTCTCCCCAAATCTCTACTCGTAATTTGAAGAAGAAAGATAAGGAAATCCAATTAGAGATAAGCTGCCCATGAGCATCATGGCATAGGTAAAAGGGAACGAGGAGGCAAGCCCCCCCATCTTGTTCTCTTTTTCTCCTTGAGTCGGATGAATCGAGGGTTCCAAACCTTCCAAAAGTGATAGGTATGTGTTGTTTCTTGGCACTCTCTTAGACTGTCTATCCCTTTATACCTGGGTATAAAAGCCAGAAAGAAAGTAGCTTCTTTGATATGGTTCAGTAAATAGGAATCCCAGTAATACAGTAAACATTGGAAGAACATAGGAATATGGGTCCATATAGGAATGAAGAAAGGGCATGATAGGCTAGTTTGATTCCAAGCCAAGCAGCAGGGCATGATCAGTCTTATCGGGCGGGGAATTGCATTCGCTAATAGAGCTTCCTACGATCGCACCCTAGGAGAGTGCAAATGGCAAGTTGAATGGTCTGGTTCCACTTAGTAGCCCAAATCCGCCCCTTTAACACGCAAGTACGCTTTAGCTACTAAGCTTCGAAACAACCCATAGGCTTACTTCGAAGTAGGAGCTTGAACTCAAGTATTAGAATGAGTCTTATTAGGTTTTCCCTGGGGGAAGGCTCCCCCCAACCCCCGTGAGTCCCGTCCTGCCCTGCCTTGAACTAGAACTCGGAAACCAGGACACATAACTATAAGAGAGTAGCTGCCAAAACAAGCTCCCTAAGGTCGCACCTAAGATCCGAAGGAATCGCTTGAGAACTAACTGCATACCTGAAGTTAGCTTGTGTGCGCATAGCGTTATCTTATCTTTGAATACTTCCTTTAGGCGGCTAGAAAGATGTTATTTGTGTGGTCCGTTCTAGTGACAGCATTTCAATTCTATTGTATTTATGTAGGAGCCGTTGTTTTTGCTTTGTTTGCCGGATTGGTACGCTTTCTTTTCTAAAAACCCTTCTCTCATAGGTCGTTACATTTCAGGCCATTTACGATCGTTTAAAGGGCCTTATATTATAAAGTATAAAGAAAGTCAAGATTGTTCTTGCGGAGAAAAGCCTACTTACTTGCTCTTGCTGCTTTTAATTTAAGAGCAAGTCGGTCTAGCTTCTTACTCTTTCACCTTTCAAAGAAGTCGAAATAGAAAGGGGTAGGAAAGATCCCGTGTACCTTGTTCAAGTTGCGGATCTCCTTCATTAGCTTTGAGTTCATTGTTGTTCTTCTGGTTCTCCTTTAAAAGGGGTCGTGGGGGAAAAGCCCCAGCCCCCCTACATGCATTAAGCGACGACGGCTCAAACGAAGCAAACCATTTCTCATAAGAGAATAGAAAATCACAAGAAAGATTTGATCAAAAGTGACTAGAAAAGAGGCGGTCGAGAAGGAATAAGTGGAAACTATGTTCGTTGAGTGCAATTTGTAAATTAGGAAAGATTAGACAGAATCCTACCAATCTAAATCAAAGTTTCCAACAGTGAAAGGCTACCCCCGTTGGCGGGTTGCTTAGGTCCAAGTTTACTTTTTGCGAAAGGGAAAATGGCTTTCTGTTAGAGAGTGATCGAGAGAAATTTTCAGTTGGGAGCCATTCTTTTGCAGCTAGGAGACATTGTTGTTATGTTTTCCAGTTATGAGCCATTGTTGTGTGGTCCCTTTCGAGCGGTTCCTTCTTTTCTTTTTTCGATGATTTAAAGGCGACAGCTCTTTTCACCAAGGAATTGGGGCTTAGAGCTATGAGCTATAACACATACGCAAGAAGGAAGAATGCCTTAATGGACGGGTACGCTAAGGAAGGGGAGTCGCTTGCTTGTTTGGTGTGTTTGGAACCGGGTTGTTTAAAGCTACCCTTTCTTGAAGAAAGAGAACCTGGGCCCAGGTCTTGGTGTATTTTGACATGATTCTCAATACGCTATCTAAACTAGGAAAGTCAGTAAGGAAAGGTGGGACAAAGAAAGCTCTACTTCGGGTAGCTGGGTGCATCAACCTCTTTCTTTCACAGGAGAGGGGACAATACTTAAGGAGCTTGGGCTACTCAACCGATAGGAATAGGGGCTTGTTTCCACAACTGAAAGAGAATCTGAAGCAGGATCGGAAACAGAATAAGATTGAGGAGCGGGGTAAAACCATTCTCAGAAGGAGCAGGTTTAGCGGTCAGTAAGAAACTCCTCAATCAAGATGAATGAGACCTTTCATGGAAGTCTTAGTTGGACTCTACACCGCTACGCACCTTACGTCGATCTAGATGATAACAAGGCCTTTCTTCCTCATGAAGAAGGAGTAGAGACCTAGCTTTCATCTGTCTGTTAAAATGTAATGCTATACCTTTTGTCCTTGAGAATCGGCTGGGTATAGCGGGAAAGAGTTTGACGATCTAGTTACATATCACATAAGATGGGTACTCCCGATATTGTCTTGGGAATTTTAAGTATATATAGTAGCGTACTGGACTCCATCTACATAAGTAGAAGCATTCAAGAATCACTTGACAGTTCTTATTTCAATTTTCCGACTCTCATCTTGTTAACTGACTTAACCGCAATACTTATCCAAAGACAGGACAAGTTGAAAGAGCTTCGGTAGTTACACTTTCTGTCTCGCGTAAGAAAGAGAGTTTAGAGTGCCATACAAAGAACCTTAGATAAGGGGATTCCTCCCATTGACTGAAGTTCAGAGTCAACCTTCCACACAAGGCAATCTTCTGATAGAGGGGAAGAGGCAGAGCACAACCGCTTCTGTGGCACAAGATGCGCTGGTATTGCAAAGGCAGGAATGAGTTCACAACGTTCGAATAAGCTACTCGACCGACTAAAGCTAAAAGGAGAAAGGGAGATGACTCTAGTTGTTGAGTACCCTGAGGAAGGTACCAGATCGACTTCTAGTTGTAGCGGATCTTACTTACATCGGTTCTAGCGCTTTCTCTTGATTCTATTTTTGAAAGATCTTTCCTTGCTCTGAGGAATGCCCGGTTTAACCAGAATCATCTCGTTAGCTTTTAGAGTCATCCCGGGATCTTTGGCTTATGCCATGTGCTCCAAACTTGAACTCAACTTCCTTTTTTCACCAACATCCGCTTCTCACTCAAGAAACTGGTGAAAGTCCTTTCCCTTTGCTGCAGCT